TGATTGAACCTTTTTAATGGTATCGTTGTTGTTGTTCACCTCGATCCTATTTACTGGTGTGGCTTCCTCTTTAAAAAAAACCCGAAATTTATTATTCCCCACTAATATAATGTAAGATAATTTCCTCCTAATGTTTGGTTACTCACAAGGTCGGCGATTTATTGGCAAAACTTCAGTCTTAGACGGGATTCGAACCTGCAACCTGTTTAGTTACTACTTTTTTCTTGTAAAAATTGAACCTTTCTGTTGCTTTCTGTCTTTCTTTTGGTATGTTGTGTCCTGCTCTCCTCTTACCTGCCACTGCTTTCGCTTGATAACATCCTTCGAGAGATTTCTAATGAAAGACTTTTTAATTGAAATTACATGACATTTTTACAATTAATACATTCAACATTTACAGCTTAATACTTATTGTTCGGCTGTTTTACTACTATCCAATTTTTCGATATTTTTTAATACCGTAACTCCGCTCACTAAATGACAAAAATATGACGAAAATGGTTTTGAATACGAATTATTATTGTAGCAAACTTCTTCGGAAGATCTCTCTCACATTTTTTTACGACTGAAAGAGTTTTACTTGTTAAATTTTTTATATTTATCCATTTTTATACTAAATTTAAGAACGACTTATCGCTCTTCCGCTCGACACCATGCCATTTTACCAAAAATTATCACTTATAACGTTAGAAATAGTAATCAATAGTGGTATGTAGTAACTGTATGGTTGATGTTGCTAGCATTTCATCATATGGCTTTTGCAAAGATGATATAGATTTGCATTGGAAAAACCCCTACAAAATCATAGCTCAGGCAGCAGCTATCCGATTACATAATGCCCATTACCAGTGTATTGGCATGAACCAGGGCTTGAGCCCAGGCATCACACAAGCTCACACGGTAGCTATACTATCGAATTTCATCTATGAGTTGAGGTGGTGCTTTTTCTGATTTACTTATATTAAAGGATGCGATGCTAAGTCTGGTTCGGAGCGCAACGCCTCTGACATACATATTACCCCGATTCTGTTTATTTGATTATTTACTCATTTATTTCTTTACCAAGTTATTTACATATCCATCAGCTATAAAAAGTCGAGAATACAAGTTACCGATCATTTTACAAAAACAAATTCTGTAGGAGTGTTGTATCTCTTCAAAGAATTTTCTCAAAGGCTGACACAAAATGACACAGCTTAACTACAAGTTACAAGTGCAAAATAATTGTATTTAACCTTATAACAGCTTCTGTGCATATAACAGCTTTATCAGCTGGAATATTATCCATTCTGATGTAACTTTGAATGCTGAAAAGTTTAGTATTCAAATGGTCATTTTTAGCTTTAAACTGTTTGTTTTCGATACTTTCTTACTATCTAGCGAATGGCGTGGTATTTTTATTAGCTCCCATTTATTAATTTTTAGTTTCTTGTTTACCACCCTGCTTTTACACTGTGATTTACCCGATTTGTTGAAAGATTATAGCGAAAGCGAGAGGCTACTACGTTTTTGGAATAGATTTTATTGAGTTCTTTTGGCTAACCCGACACAGGGTCTGATGTGTTCGTTTTAGGACCGACTACATCGTTCGACATGTCCGCAATGCAGAACGAGTTAGACCAGGCGAATCAGCAGTACGATCAAGGAAGTATCATCGAGTTCAACAATTCCATTGTAAGTGCTTTGTACTGAAGTGCGGTTTGAAGGCACAGTTAGCGATGATTCTGGGGTATCTAGCTGAAGTGAAGTAATGGGAGTTATTGTGCAGAATCAGGCAAAGTTGGTGAAGAAAGCGCGAGAATCGGCGGATTTTAGGAATGATAAGATTCAATAAATAATTAGAGCGGGGCTTGTAATAGATTATGTGTCTGTAACCGTCTCGATGTCTCCGACATTAATGTTCTATTCCTCGGCGTCCTAACGCTTCACTGTGTATGCATAGTAAAGCCTTAACAGGGCCGTCATAACACGGCCATTTTTGGGTGTGTATGCCGAAGACGGTTTTGGAGCCTTCACTACGACCCGACTATGTCCCGCAACGTGCGATTCTTGGAAGCAGGTTCTTCCCAAGACAAATCTCGGAAACCATTCTCATCATGAACTGTGTCTTTAACCCAATCCTGGAACACATACATAGCCCGTTGAGTGTTCTAATTTCAGTCGTTTGAAGCTCGTATACGAGAAGTTGGAGCGCTTTTGAAACATACAATGCTAACACAAGCACCACATCTTATCCGTGAACGGATTATCCATAAAGTGGTAAGCGTTCTCGGAAATTTTAGCGATTTTATGAGATTCTAGGAAGAGCAGCCTAAAGTTTTCCCATTCTAAAAAGAGCAGCCTAAAGATTTTCCATTCTAAAGAGCAGCTTAGAGATTTTCCAAGATATCAGTGGCTTAACTCAGCAAAATCGCCTCGAACTACTCTAGAAGGTGCCAGGCGATATTGAGCGCTCTATGATGCTCCCTTGAATATTCTCAAATTGTAAAAATAATGAAAAGTTGAAAATTTTATTGTATACCGTTTTCCAATTATTTTTCAGCCGTATACGGATTGTATGGTAGGCAGTGAGATGGTGGATTGGCTATTGGACTTGTCTGTCTCTATTGGAGCTCATTCACCTGCTCTTTCAAGATTTCAGGTAAGCTTCCCAGCCTTCACAATCTCTTAGATGCAGTTTACAAGGACGGTGCTCTCAGAATTTAATTATAAGAAAAGAGAGTCTCCAGAAAAACAAGAGTTCATGAGAAAAAACTGGGAAATTCATCTCTCAAAAAAGAACCATGGGAACAGGCTTCCCAAGGTCCAATAACAGCGATGATATACATGTATGAATTACCAGGGAATTGTGGGTATACATGTATGAATTACCAGGGAATTGTGTATTTTGGAGAATAATCCTCATATAGTAAGGAATCCCAGTTGAATCACGTTCTTCCCACATCGTCACTAAGAACTTTATGTCAGTAAAACATCCCAGATGGGAGAGTTTATATATCTGGGTACCCCTGTGAACACCATTTTGGGCGGGCCCATGCGATTCTTGATACGGGTTGAGCAACTATTATCTGTTACTGATTAAACCTACCCACTTCATTACTGATAAGATCGGACTCTGTTTAGTTCTTTAATGATTTACAGCCCGGAAAAAATATACAGTACTGTATTATTCGTCGTTTTCTGGAGTTACATTTTTCGAAAGCTGAAACGGATTCGTCGGTTCCGGAACTGCTCAAATAGAAAGCAAGAAAAAAAAAANAAAAAAAAACGTAAACATTAAATTTAAATGAAATCAAATCTGGAACAGATTCTAAACATAAAATTGAGCAAATCATCCCATTATCACCGCCATCATCAGATCTTTTTTTCAGATCAGCGGAATGTGGCAGACTCTTCTCGAACACAACCTCATCTGTCACGGTTCGTTCACTCACTTTATCTGTCTTCACCTGATTTCATTCCTTGGTCACATCATCTTTCGGAATGCCACGTCTGAGCTATTTTCATGTGATTCTTTCCAAAATGACGGGAGTACCGCACGCCAAGGCGCGCGATGAGTCAACTGGTTAAGAAATGCCCCGTCCTGTGGGGATGGGCGAGGCTTCTGCTTTATACCCATTGTTTCTCCCAAGATGTCAAACCTTGCACCCAACAATATAATACATACGCATATATTATGTGTTTAGTGACAAGCGAGCTTCAATTTGTCGACAAGATGGTATGTTACCGATGGGTAGATTCCGATATGGGTAAACAGTCATGGCGCGATATGATGAATGGCATCCCAGGTGAGAGATATCCACTGCCGTTGGTAGAAAACTGGTAGCGCTTCTGTGCTGCCGCTATACTCTCCTGGCTTCATTCCTGTTTTTTTGCCATTTTCCTTATCGAGTTGCTAAAATAGGAAGATTCACCCACAACGATTCCCGGCTGGTTGAGGAAACACCTACACGAGAAGATCTTGCTGGTGCGGTGTTTTTTCTGAGCACTGTGGGACCAGACGCACTCTTCCGAATGATCCTAAGAAAGCTGTGAGTCATTCCCATCGCTCTATCGATTCCCTGGCACCATCCTGACTCCACTTCTTCTTCAGCCCTCAAGATCGTACCCCTGAAGAGCTGGAATTGGTCTATGAGGAACTGTTGCACGTGAAAGCTCTCTCACACCTTAGCACTATGGTGAAAAGGGAACTCGCTACCGTAATCGGCTATGAGCATCATACTCATGCAGGTAATGAGCCCAACCTTTTTCGGCAGATTCTCTTACCTACCTAGATCATATTTTGAATTTTACCAATTCCAGGTACGGTATTGTTTCATCAGGGCGAACCTGGAAAGAATTGGTATATCATCCTGCGAGGTAGTGTGGACGTCAGTATACATGGCAGGGTAAGTCTTACGCTATAATAGTCGTGAATTTCATCTCTAAAAGGGGTTGTTTACTCTGATAAACAAGTAATCCATTCACTTATCTGTTGAAGTCATTATCATAGGTGTAATGTCCTTCTAGATGTCCCTTCATTCCAAACACCTTTCTTTGACGACTTCAAATCACAGCCCATTTCCCATCGAGCTTTGAATCCTTGGGCTCCTTTTAGTTTCTTGGATGTACTATGAAGTAGTGACGAAGAGTTATCCTTTCATATTTTGTCAAGATTCCTTCTAATACAGTCAAATTAATGTTTACAATTTTCGAAGTTTGATTATCGATTTTCTTGTTCAGGGTGTGGTATGTACCTTACAAGAAGGAGACGATTTTGGCAAATTGGCATTGGTGAATGACAGCCCTCGAGCAGCCACGATCACTCTCAGAGATGACCAAGCACAATTCCTCACAGTGGACAAGCATGATTTCAACAGGTCAGCTTTGTTTCTTTCTTTCTTTTCCAAGTCCCATCCCCACTCACGAAACCCTTTTTCTCGATTTCGCTCAACTTGTTTAATTTTAACTCTATTTTTGAGATCCGGTGCCTGTTGCTGGTAGTATACTCTTCTGGAAGGGTAAAAGCCTGCTTTGAATGCGTATATAGCCTACATAATGACTTGTAAGATGGCTGGTCATCAATGCAGGGGCGTGTCCTAAAACGGGCTATCAACGCCAAAGATCTTTCCAACTTCTCGTTTTTCGTTTTTTTTCTAATCCCTTTCTCTGCGATGCGGAAAATTTCAGGATTCTTCGAGATGTTGAGGCGAACACGGTGCGATTGAAGGAACATGGGCAAGACGTACTGGTATTGGAAAAGATAAATTTACCCAGAGGAGCAGCCATCGAGGGAAGTCTGCCCAACAACAGTAAAGGACACTGCTGGTGAGCTTGAGTTTGACTGCCTCCCATATCGTTTTTGTTAAGTGAATTGGACATAATTATTGGTCTATTTCGCCCAGTTACCGTATATATTTCAATATGTGACAAGGTTTTCAATATTCTGGGCTAGATTTTCGAGTTCTCGAAATACTTGATACTTATGAAGGAAAGGTAATCAGTCGACCTGAAAAGTCTGCTTTCAGTTATTCGGTGATGGCAGGATTGGCAGAGAAGATGCTGGAATACGTCTTGGAGACGCGAGTTGATGCACAAGAAGATGGAGCCGAACTGGACGTGTTTCTGGAAGACCTCGTGCTTACACACATCATTTACCTACCCACCAACACACTCTGTAATTACCTCAAACACTACTATTCTAGAGCGGCTGAGGTGGGGTCAACTAACTGATTTTCTTTTTTTTTCTCTGTAAAAAGGTGGAAAAACAGTTTCTGGGTATCACTCACACCTGTTCAGAAGTGGGTGGTAGCATTGTCGGAGTGGAAAAGTGTTTTCGAACTATTTAATGAAATTAAGTATTCAGACAGTACAATTTAGCCTCATCCCAACCCACTAGGTGCTCTGGACGATCTGGAACAACGAATAGCGGCTAGACGACGTGTTGTTTCTTTTCTATGGCTCTGGGTGAATACCCTAGGAATCCATTATTTTCTTGATCCCGCAGCAAACGCCTTTGTTGAGGTAGATATTACTTTGTTTTCTGGAGACTGTTGTTCGTTTTTAGGATTGTGAGCTATTTATTTGTTCTTCCAGGAGTTATACTGCCACGTACTGGAAGACAACCGAACTTTACCAGGTTTGAGTCCGATTCTTGCTCGAATAACAGCATTACGGGATCTACGAGAGGAAGCTCGTCGTACGCTTGCCCGACATCCAGCAGTTGTTCTTGAATGTGGAGTTCTGTCCACTATGGCACCAGCACCAAGTCCTGTTCTGCCCAGTGACATATGTGGGAGTACCAGTTATTCCACTATTCATGGGCTATTCTAATTGCAACCAGTTTCAGGCAATCAAATTATCCATCTCTCCGATACAACATCGTTTGCACTTCCAATTCGGATGGATAAAACTGCAACGGAGATCTGTGAACTTGCCCGAGGTCGTCTTCGTAGTTCACACCATGACGAGTTGGCTTTGGTCGAGGTAAAAAGTAGCGGAGGTAAGCCCATTTCTAACCTCGCACCACCAAAGTTTCAAAAGTGTAAGAATCGTGAAGCCAAGGTGAGGTCATGGTGGAGGCCCCGCTACCACTCGTATGTTTTAGGGAATCAGGTTCCAGAATGATACTTGCAAAACCCTCTTGAGATGGCTTGTTGCTACCAGGCTCATTTGGGGAGGTTAAAACCCTCACCTGCATAGCGGTTGACCCCACAAGTTATTGTATAGGCGTGATACCCATCAAACACCTTTTTTAGCCAGGATGGGGAGCGGCTAGAGGCCAAGGCTCTTTCCACAAATGCATTGATTCAAAAGGACTTAAAATATTGAAACCGGTCTCTGCAAAGCACACAGAGGGCTAAATTCAAAAAAAATCACTATGTTCTTTAATACTAGACGCTAGTCATGGGTTATCTGGATCAAATTTGATACATACAAAAGGTAGAAAGGGCTGATTTCGCGATGGAACGGTTCCAAATTCAGGGTAAGAGCTCCGCCATGCATAGTTCAAGGAAAACAATCTTCAAAAAAATGCAAATTCCCTTGAAGATGGTTTTTTCAAATTTTTTCCTATCTCATTCTTGCATACCCTACGCTCTACTACTTGTCGGGAAGAGCTCATGAAAAAGATAGTAAAATTATCTCTCCTAGTCGACGGCCTTCGAAAGATTGGAGGTTTGCTTGGCGTTAGGGTCGAGGGCTTGAACGATCGAAAGTTCTCTTGGCATTAGGGGTAGAACTAAGTGGGAGTCGGTTCAGTCCCCTCTAGTTGCAACTAGCCAATTTTCGATTAAATTTCTTAACAGGAAAGAAGAATAAATTAGTCATGGAAGAGAAGTAACTACTCACGAATATTTATCATATAGAAAGGTATAGATATCGACTTTTTCTAATCTTAAATCCCATATGAATTTTGTGTCGGAGCTAGAATTTCTCTCTTGAGGCATGAATTTTCAGAGAAAGTTGTTTTCTATGACGGTGACGTGAGCATTCCGACGATGTTATCCTTGAATAGCAAGCTGTATGTCGTCAGCAAAGATGAAATCGACTCTTTGGTGAGTGCTTCGACTCAAGTAATCACTTAAACCTTTTCCCTTTTCTCTTCGAAACTCATTCCTTTTCATCCGCAACTTTTAGTCAAGTATTAGATTTGGCTAATTGGAATTTCCGTTGCTAATACTTGAAAAAATCTAAATTGGTTAACCTATTGGTCAGATTGGGCGATAGAGCCAGTGTCCAGTACTTGTAGCTGACATTTGAGCAACTCTCAACTCTCACAATGAGATCGAATGAATAGGGATTGCTGATGTGGCTTTCTCACTTCTTCAGTTCATCAAAAACTTTTTCGGCCGTGCTAGGGAGCCATGGCTGACTAATATACCCCTGACTCTTTAGTTACTTTCAGCATTTCCTGTGTAGTTTTGGGTGGGAAAGTTCCTGAGTTCTGAGTGCGGAGCTTGCTCAGTCTGGGGAATAATGACCAACCGTATAGTCGTCGCTAGGGGAATAGGGGATGGAACTGGTTCAAAACCTCAATCTTCGTCCATTCAGTTAACTTTGAAAATATATTATTTACGAATATTCGCGGATCTTACCTATTATCCTGGTAGTTATAAACTGCTTAAATGGGTTCTATTTCATTCAGGTCCCTCAACTCGATCAAAATGGTCCGCTTGAATCCGTTCATGCTTCAGTAATGGAGTATGTTGGTAGCCATGAGTTGGCACAGCAGCTCCTCGTATTGCACACTCAGTTATTCGAGGTGATTTTACAGTTTCAAACTGAACAAGTTCCTATAGGTAGCGACTAGCCTCTTGAGCTCGGTGGGTTTTGCACTTTGAATAACTCCCTACATTGGTTTGAGCCTGATACAAGGATCCAACGAGGTACGGGNCAGAGCTTCGGTCCTAGTGGAGGCGATATTTAGCGGAGCTTAATCTGGTATCAGTCCCAGAAGGGATGAATTTTGAAGGCTCGCTCAAAATGCCTAGTGCTACCACGAGCGGCCACTGATGGGTGTAATGAACCGTCTCCAGTGACAGCGCGAAGAAGGCAATAAGGTTGTGGTGCAGTAGGAACAAAATTGTCGCGTCGCGGCAAGAGACGTCGCGCGCGAAGAAATGTAGCAAATTGCAGCAGCAAGTAGGAAGTACAAGAACAAAAGAACTAGCATTAGAATAATGCTAAAAGTAATAATACGTACGATTGGGCTGTATGAAGAACGCTAAAACTGTGCTGATGAGGCAAGTGGTCCGGTAGCCGCGTGCGGCGGATCGAAGACACAAAACCGTTGCTATTGCCCGTCTCTCAGGCAATAAAAGTAAAGATCCCTCCTATGCAGCTCGAACAGCACTCAGAGTATAAAGCTATGGAGAGCTATGTTCTGAAATTTCTACATTTTTTTTCGATTCTTCGCCCTTGATATGCTTCTCAGCACCGATTAGCATGAATCTCATAGCATGCGCACATTCAGGCAACAGATGAGATCGAATTAGTGACACAAGTGATTGGAAGGGATCAGTTTCCGGGACGAGTACCCTCGAATCTGGATCTTCTAATGCGCAGGTAAAAGCTGTTGCAATGCCTAACCAATGCCCAAATATCTCCCGTTCCTTCTTTTTAGGTTCAATGAAGTGCAGTACTGGGCCACTACGGAGGTTTTGTTGGCGTTGCCGCAAAAACGAGTCACAACCCTTCGAAAGTTCATTAAAATTGCTATGTAGTAAGTAATCCTGCTTTATCTACCGAAGTCCCCAATGTGCATTCCCATTCGAAGCCTGGATTTCAGTGCCAAAGAGAATCGGGATCTGATGACATTGTTCGCTATCACTCTAGGTCTTAGCAATATCGCTGTCAGCCGTCTTTCTCATGTCTGGGAAGTAAGTTCTCATTCTTGTTTCGGATGCGAAAGATGAACTTTCCCATCACTTCACTTGCAGCACTAAATAAGGTTTTTAGAATGATTTGGTAATTACTCACATTTATATCTATGTTTATCCGTTTATTTATTGTTTTTATTGATTTTTCAATTCTTTGCTTTCAGCGTCTTCCAACCAAACTTCGTCGGCAATTCGCTGAATTCGAATCCCTTCTAGATCCTTCACGGAATCATCGTCCCTATCGTGCTCTCGTTGCTAAGGTATTCAACTTTCAGTAATATGGCTTCCTCTTACTTCTGTATACCGCGAAGTATAAATTGGTTGAATAATCCATTATATACAAATTAATCGAACCATAAACAACCCAAGGACGGATCTGGTATAGCGGTAAGTGCCGCACTATCTCACACGCACGGTCAGGGATTCGAATACCGGATTGATATCCGCCTAAGCCAACCTAGCCTTCCATCCCCCGGGGTCGGTGAATCCGTGCCAGACTGGTCTGGAAG